CTGGTAGCACTAGAGTAGAAGTGACAATACCTTTCCCTCTCTAGCCTGTCTTCACCTGCAGGCAGATGACAGCCACCACCCGGCATGTAGTCGACAATGAGGGGACCAGTGATGCAGCCACCTGCCACAGTGGCCCTTCCGCAGAGTGAAAACACACGCTGGCTCCCCAGGAAGGTCTAAGGACTTCTTTCACAGGGATTCAGGGACGGAGCCAGCGTTGCCTGGGCTGGTGAAGAAATGGGCCTCATCCTGCCCCTTCACTGCCATTCAGGGCGTTACATCTGGGACTTGAGAGACGCCCTGTGTGCATACACTCTTTTCACGACTCCCTTTTTCACTCCTCTCTTCTCCTGTCCTGTCTTATTAACACTCATTCCCAATGTGATACTGTGATTTATATGACATCATACTGATTTATAAGAAAAATATACAAAATTCCATATATGTGTATCAACAAGATTATGCCCTTACCTCCATTGACACGTAAAGAATCCCAAACTCTCTCCTTGTATGAAAACATTTGCAGCGACTCCTTAGTTTTTCATTGCAATGTCTCTTTAAATCAACCCCTTACTCTTTTTTCCCCCTATTAATTAGGCAGGTTGCTAAGTTGGCACAGTGCAGTGGTGTTAAAGTGTCCCCAAATCATTAGTGCCTCATCAGCTTGGAGGCAGTGTGTGAAATTACCTTCTGAAGTGTTACCTGAAGGCAGTTAGCACCCCCTTCGCTGCTGACTTCAGACAAGAGTGGGAACTCAGCAGAAATATCAGCAGGGCTGCACTAGCCTTCAGCATAATCCTAGGGTCAGAGAAGGTGGAGGCCTTCCTGCCCACCAGTGTCCTTCCCATCGCTCTGCTCTCTCGGTCACACCACCCGTGAGCCTTTGCCCTGCTNCGAAGTCGTCACCGTTCCTTACAGTACACAAGACCCTCTGTCCATGGCGTCACTGAACTGAGGTTGGGGGTGCGCTGGGCCCCAGGGCCCCATGAGCCATCTCAGGGCCGATGGGAGCAGCCTGGTGTGGCCAAGGCCCAGGGGCAGAGTGAAGGCACTGCTGGTGGGAGAAAGTGAAACTCGACCCCTCCCTCACACAAAACTCAACACATCAAAGGTTATTTTTAGGTCTGAGTGTGAAAAGTGCTTCTAGATCACTGCCACCTGCCTGGACCTTCCTACGTGGGTAAAGCAATCAGTCTGGGCCCCCGTTCGCCACGGTGCATTTGCACAGCCAGCCAGAAGGTGCAGCGTCAGCTCGCTCAGGGCCCTGATCAAATTTCCCTGCCCGAGCCCCATCTGCTGACGGAGGAGCGACAGCTTGTGTCCCAGACATTCCTGGGGAAGCTCTCCGCGTGCCAGGGCTCCTCCGCCCCGGCTGCCTGCACCTTCTGGGCACACCCTCCCTCCAGGCTCCTGTCTCTGCTCTCTGCTGCTGTTCCTGGATCACCACCTGTG